GAAAATCACTCACTACGAAAGCAAAGATTTGGCAGATGACTGGAACATCCCCCCAATGAAAAGCAGGGTGTCACTAGCACATTAAGAGACCATACAATAAGTGTCAGGGGCCCGAGACTGTTCAACTGCCTCCCAGCTACATAAGGGGGATTACCAACAGACCCTGGCAGTCTTCAAGCTGGCACTGGACAAGCACCTAAATTTGGTTCTTGACCAGCCGGGCTGTGGCTCGTACATTGGTTTGCGTGCAGCCAGCAGCAACAGCCTGGTTGATCAGGCTCTGATCCACCAGGAGGCCTGGTCACAGACCGGGCCGCGGGGGCGTTGACCCCCGGAACTCTCTCCATGGTAGTTTTGAAGGTGATGAATGTGTCTGCAGTTCTAGAGTTTTCATGTAGGGTGTTCCAGATTTTAGGGCCTTTGACATACATTGAATTTTTGTAAAGGTTTAGTCGGACACGGGGAATGTCATAGAGATGTTTGTGTCTGGTGTTATGCCTGTGGGTTCTGTCACAACTATCAAGAAAGCATTTTAGGTCAAGGTTAATATTGGAATTAAGGTCCTGTAGATGTAGATTGCACAGTAGTAAGTGTGGATGTACTGAACAGGGAGTAGGTTTAGATCTATGAAGAGTGGGGGGGGGGTTGCCAGGGATGGGATTTAGTGATTTTTCTTACTGCAGCTTTTTGTTGGGTTATTATTGGCTTTAGGTGTGTTGCTGCAGTTGATCAACAAGCACAAATAGCATAGGTGAGGTATGGATAAATAAGTGAGTGGTATTAGTGTGAGAAGGGCATTTTGCGGCACGTAGTATCGTATCTTGGAGAGGATCCCAAGGACACTTCCCTGCGGAACTCCAGTATCAAGTGGCCGTGTTGTTGATGCTGTGTCTTTAATGGTGACATACTGATACCGATTAGTAAGGTAAGATTTGAAATATGCAAGTGCATGGCCTTTTATACCATAATGGTCAAGTTTGTGGAGTAGGATGCCGTGATGCCGTGGTCTACTGTGTCACGAGCTTTTCTTAGGTCAATAAAAATTCCTAGTGGATTTCCTTATTTTCAATGCTGTGTAAAGCAAGTCTAGCATTTTTATGATTGCATCATTAGTGCTTTTATTTTTCCTGAATCCAAATTGGCAGGGGTTGAGTACGTTTTGTGACATTATAAATGAATATAGTCTCCAGTGCACGAGTTTCTCAAAGATTTTGGATAGCAATGGTAAGTTTGATATTGGCCTATAGTTGTTTAAATCCGTAGGGTCACCACCTTTATGTATAGTAGTTTGGGTTCTTTTCTTTTCATAAGAGTTTGCTACAGACTTCTGGCAACCATTCAGTGTGGGTTACCCTGCTACCTTTTTCTGCGCTACAACAGCTGTTTTTTGCAAGACTATTCTTGTAAATGTGCTCCTTTAGTGAATGTGGTTTGCCAAAATTTTACCCTTCA